CGGGAGCGTTCAAGCACGCGTCAATCTGGAGGAAAATTTTTAAAATCGTAGGATCGAAGGAACGACCTTCCTTCCGTTGGACCCCCGCCCATGGAGATCTGGACGAGATTTTGGAGGGCGAGTGGTCGTTTGCTGAGGCTGGTGTTTCGCGTGAGTCCGATCTCCTTGGGAACGGGTGGGCAGACTTTTTCGCGAAGATGGGTGCGGCTCAGATCCGAGCGGCCGAGAGTGCAGTCGAAGCAGTCAGAGTCGGCCTCAGCGAGGCCAAGCTGAATCTTGATTTTATTTCGCGGGCGGCCCAATTCGTGGCCGCGTCTTCGGTCCCCGAACCGAGGCCGCCTGCCAGGCCGAGAAACTCCACGGCCCCTCCTTTGGCCCTGATGGCCCACGACCTCGAGACGATTCCGTCGGGAGGTGTGCGGTGCACATGGTGCCACAGTATCGCGAAGTCGGCAGGGGGCCGAGCCAGGCTTGAGCAGCCTAGTGCGGTCTGCAGGCCGACTGACCTGCACTTGTTTTTAGCTGCTGTCCGTCACCACCGCCTCGGGGGCGTCCTCCCTAGGGCGCGAGGCGAGGCGGTGCGTCGAGCGTGGCAGGCCCTCGGCTTCGAGGGAGAGCAGGGTGAAGCTGTCGCCCCGCCGTCGGTCTTCCACTTCTTGCAGCACCAGGTTGCGGCTGTTGGCCGCTACCTGATCTGTCAACGTTGTGGGGCCCACGCGCTGATTGAGGCGCCGAGCTGGCGCGCCCTGCTCAAGACCTGTGCGGGACGCATGTCCAAGGACCAGCGGTGGTTCCTGGACCGTGTCTGTGCAGGGCGCGAGCCCCGATAGGGGCGAGCAAGGGTGGGCTGACCCTGGTGGTTAGCCCACCGCTTGCTTGCCCCTATCTGGGGCTCGTGGGTTTGTCTACCCAGCGGGGGGCGCGGTGCGAGTGGGGACTGCCCGGCGGTGCGCCGTTAGTGACCCTCGCACAGTTGCTCCCCGCCCCCGCGCACGGCGCGGAGGGTGCTACTCTGCCTCTGGCTGGGTGGTGCTAAGAGCCCCTATCTGGGGCTCGTTTCTTCCTTGCGGGCGGTGCTGCACTGAGCACCCGCCTTTTCCTTTCTGTTGAGAGGCTTGCCTCTCGGTGCTCGCGGCCAGCGCCCGAACGGACGAGCGCTCGCATCGGCGTGGAACGTGGAACGTCGGCGTCGGCGTCGTCGTCGGAGTCGTCGTCGTCGTCGTCGTTGTCGTCGTCGTCGTCGTCGTCAAAGTCGTCGTTGTCGTCGTCGGTGTCGTCGCAGTCGTCGTCGTCGGCGTCGTCGTCGTCGTTGTTGTAGCTGTCGTCGTCGGCGTCGGTGCCGTTGCCACGTGTCATTCGGTACCTACTGCCACGGTCTTAAGAGGTATTGCGACCAAGTTGCGGATGGGAGGGTGGGATGTTTGCACGAGCAGTGGAGAGGGCAGCTTCAAGACAGTCAAACTGAGTTTCACCACATAGATTGCACTACGCAGACTGTTCCAAATGTTTTGCACAGCGTAGATTGCAAAACATCGATTGCACTGCGTAGATTACACCACCTAGACTGCACTTCGTAGGTCGCACCACAGAAGATAGCACCGCATGTACTGCACCATCCAATGTGTACCCCACAGTGTGCACCACATATATCGCACCACATATATGACACAGCACAATGTGTGCACGTCGTCGTTTGCACCACTTTCATTGCACAGCATAGATTGCCTCGCGTTGTTCGCGCAACAACTAGTATTTCGACATTTTTATTTTCGAGGTCCTCACTGGCTCATCGACATACACACAAATCTAGATATTATTGTATATGTGCATGTATTGATATGCGTGTGCATAAAACATTGTATGTGTGTATGTATGTATGTATGTATGTATGTATGTATGTATGGATGTACGTATGAATATATGTATGTATGTATGTGTGTATGTATGTATGTATGTATGTATGTATGTATGTATGTATGTATGTTTCTTTGTGTGTACCATTTATAAAGATTGGGCGTTCGCGAAAGGGCCTCGCCTTCGAGGATGAAGGAGTTGGCAACTCTTCCTCGGCCGAAGGCGTCTGAAGGCTGGCGGAAGGCGGCGGATGTAAAACGATGCCGCCTCCGCCAGCAGAAGGTTTGCGGAAGGCGGCGGATGTGAAAAATGGGCCCCAAGAGATGACATGTTTGGCGGGTTCAGGGTTTCCAGAAACCGCCATATGACACGTCATTGTGTTACTATACTGATACACTATCGGAGGTGAGGGCGTGAGATCGATGTGGAACGGCGAGCCCCCCTACTGGGAGATCGGTTTCGGTTTCGTGTTCGTGCGTGCCGTGCGTGCGGGCGAGGCGAAGCTGCGTGGGCGGGCGAGAAAGAAGTCTCCTGTAGCTAAGGCGCGGCCGGACCAAAAGTCTCCCTTCGGGCAACTGGTGCCCCGCGGTGTCCCGCCGGTGTCCCGCTCGGGGGCCGGTGGCGCGCGGTGTCCCGCCGGTGTCTCGCCGGTGTCCCGCTCGGGGGCCGGTTGCGCGCGGTGTCCCGCCGGTGTCCCGCCGGTGTCCCGTCGGTGTCCCGATGATGATGGTGATGATGATGATGATGATTATGATGATGATGATGATGATGATGATGATGATGTTGATGATGTTGACGATAATGATGGTGATGGTGATGGTGGTGATGATGATGGTGTCCCGATGATGATGATGATGATGATGTTGACGATGTTGATGGTGATGATAATGGTGATGGTGGTGATGTGATAATGATGGTGCCCCGATGATGATGTTGATGATGATGTTGCTAATGATGATGGTGCCCCGATGATGGTGATGATGATGATGATGATGTTTATGATCCTGATGATGTTGGAGATGATCAGATGATTTGAGGATGATAATGAAGATGCTGGTGATGATGGTGCCCCGGTGATGATGATGCTGTTCATCATGACGGTGATGATAATGGTGTCCCGATGATGATTGTAAGGATGATGATGATGATGATGATGATGGTATCCCGATGATGATGATGATGATGATGATGATGATGATGATGATGATGATGATGGCGATGATGATGATGAGGATGATGATGAGGTGTTGATGATTTTGATGATGATGGCCCAGTGGTGGTGATCATGATGTTGATGTTCATGATGATGATGGTGTCCCGATGATGTTGGTGATGATGATAGTGATGATGATGGTGACGATGACGATGGTGTTCCGATGATGCTGATTTTGTGCATGATGATGATGTTGTTAATGATGATGATGGTGCCCCGATGATGATGTTGATGAGGCTGTTCATGATCACGATGATGAGAATAATGGTGATGGTGGTCTCCCGATGGTGATGATAGTGTCCCGATGCTGATGATGTTGATGATGATGGTGACGATGATGGAATCCCGATGATGGTGTTGATGTTGATGATGATGGTGATGAGGTGATGATGATGATGATGATGATGATGGTGTCCCGATGATGTTGATGGTGATGATGATGCGGATGAGGTTGATGACGGTGATGTTGTTGATGATGATGATAACGTCGATTGTGATATCGATTGTGATATCGATAGTGGGACCGATAGTTATACCGAATGTGAGATCGATTGTGAGATCGATTGTGAGATCGATAGTCAGAAAGATTGTGAGATCGATCGAATTGAATAGATCGAGTGGCATCGTTTGTGCGATTGATCGAGTGAGATCGATCGAGCGAGACCCATCGTGATATCGATAGTGAGATGGATAGTGAGACCGATCGAGTGAGACGTTGGTTCCTCCCCCCCCCCGAACCTCCTTATCACCCGAAGGGTGTTCATATAGGCATATGCTTGTATATACACGGGTTGATGCCACCGTCGTCGAGGTATTCATGTTCTTCCTCTTGATGGTGCAATCGTCAAGATTGTCTCCTCCGCCTTCATCCTCTGCCTCCCTCGTGTTTTTTCTCATCATATATTTCTGCCGTACCTCACCACATGCTTCCCAACACATACTTGTGTCCTTGAACCACGCTCGGAGCAAGAGGACGAGTGACGCCAGAGGACAAGGAGGAGGGATCATGAGAGGAGGTGGAGCTGGAGAAGGAGGAGGAGGTAGGTGTTGGAGGAGGAGGGTGAGGAGGAGGGAGGAAGCAGAGGTTGGAGGAGGAGGAGGAGCAGGAGGAGGCGGAGGAGGGAGGAGGAAGAGTGTGGAGGATGGAGAAGGCAGGGGAGCTAGACGGGGAAAGCTATGTGCCCTTCGCCCCTTTCCAATATTGTTGCGCTGCTGTCTGCTGCGTCCGTGGACGCACGTCAGAGCCGACCCGAGACAAGGAGAGCAAGCACTGAGAAAGCATCGAGGAGCTGCGGACATAGGAGGAGGTGGAGGAGGAGGAGGAGTAGGAGGAGGAGTAGGGGGAGGAGGATGAGGAGGAGGAGGAGGAGGAGGAGGAGGGATGAGGAGGAGTAGGAGGAGCGGGAGGAGGAGGAGGAGGAGGAGGAGAAGGAGGAAGAGGAGGAGGAGAAGGAGGAGGAAGAGGATGAGCAGGAGGGCAAGGAGGAGGACGAGGGGGTTGAGGAGGGCGAGGACGCAGCAGGGGCTGGAGTGGAAGCGGCGGGAGGAGCGAGAGGACCAGGGGAAGGCGGAGGAGGTAAACCGAGGGGGGCGACAGTGCTGAACAAGGACTCTGATCCAGAAGAGTGGCCCGCGCTGCCTCGAGAGCGTCACATTCGGAAAAGACGGAGGCAAGGCGCCGATCCGGAACTGAGCCCCACGCTGCAGCATCTTAAAACACCGTACGCAATCGGATGCTACAAAAACGTAAGGGCATCACATTTGTCCAGTCTTGCGCGCGAAAAAAAACAAACATTACGCGGAGAGGGCGGGACATGTTCCGGACAGAGTCATGCGAGAGAGGAGAATGGTTCAAGTGTGTGTAAGTGTAGAATGGAGAGAGACAGCTCATGAGCAGGACGCGGAGCAGCAGGAGGATTACCTAATCCGACAGGACATCGACAAGATCACCTCCTCTGTCTTCCGGGGCCTGCGCTGCGATGAGGAGTCTTCCAGTGAGCACCGCATGCCGCAGGAGCTGCCAACGACACTGACCACGACCATGACCACGTCCACGACGACATCGAAGAAAGACCTTAACAGACGACAGTGACCACAGTGGCGGCGGCGACGACGATCACAGCGACGACGACGCTCTTGCGAACAGGTGATCTAACAAGCTGCTGTGGCCTTCATTTGTCCCTCCCTCTCCCCTGCGTGCGCCTGGCCAGGTCTATGAACCACCCCCCTTCCTTGGGCAGGCTTCTTCTCGTACTGGCTCCCGGGAGACGCATTCGGCAGCGCACTCAGTGTGCGGGCACTGCGCCGCAGTGGCCGCTATGAGAGCAGACGCGCCCGCGGGCAACTCACCAATGTGAGGAAATGCCGGAGAGATCACGACGACGACGACGGCGAAGGCGTCGAAGACGGCGACGGCGGCGACGGCGACGGCTACGACGTCGAGGACAGCGTCGACGACAATGACCGCGGCGACGACGACGGTGGCTGCAGCTTCTGCGACGGCCGCGACCACGGCGACGACGACGAGGTCGCCGCTGCAGTCTGGGCCGCCGAAGACGAGGGAGGACCGCAGGGAGGCCTTCAAGAGCCCACGAAGGCCGCAGCCAGAGGCAGCTGCGGCAGGGCGCCAAAGGCTTCGGCGGTGGCGGCGATGACAGCGCTGGCGATAGCGGCGGCGGCGGCGGGCGGCGGCGGCGGCGACGACGACGACAACGACGACGACGACGACAACGACGGCGACGACGACGACGGACAACAGACGACAGACGACTGACGACGGACGAATGCCGACGGCCGCCGGCGGCGGTGGCGGCGGTGGCGGCGGCCGCAGGAGGTGCCGGAGCACAAGCTGCTGCAGGAGGGCTCCTCTGGGTCGGCGCAGACGGGTTTCCTCGAAGGTCTCCTCCTCCTCCTCCTCCTCCTCCTCCTCCTCCTCCTCCTCCTCCTCATCCTCCTCCTCCTCCTCCTCCTCCTCCGCCTCCTCCTCCTCCTCCTTCTCCTCCGCGCTGGCGCCGCGTCGGCCCGCGGCGGCCCTCGCCGGCCCTCGGCGCCCTCCGTGAGGCCGTCGGCGGCCTACGGCGCCCTTCGTGAGGCCTGCGGCGCCCCTCGGTGGCCGTCGGCGCCCCTTCGGCGGCCTGGGAGCTTCGGAGGCCCTCGGCGGCCGAGGGGCGGCCTGCGTGGCCAGCTGCGGCCCTCGGAGGCCTGGGCTCGGTGGCCGGGGCAGCCGCGCGGAGGATGGCGTCGTCGTCGTCGTCGTCGTCGTCGTCGTCGTCGTCGTCGTCGTCGTCGTCGTCGTTTTCGACGTCGCTGCATCGCCCGCCGCCGTCGCCGTCGTCGTGTTCGTGCTCGCGGCGCGGCCGCAGAGGATCGTGCCGCCACCCCCGGGGAGCGGGAGGAGTAGGGGGGTGGGGAGGAGGAGGAGCGGGAGGCGGAGGCGCAGGAGCAGGAGGAGGAGGGCCAGCCGCACTCCCCACAGACCACCCCGAGGCCGACCGGGGGAGGGGAGGAGGGAGTGCTAGAGCGGCGGGGCCACTCAAAGGATGTCGCAGCCGTCACAGATGACGTAGTGTTTTGCCTGTCGCACTGTGCATGGCGTACCGTGTCTGTAACTATGTAGACGAAGTACCCGTTCTTCACATCAACAGCGCGCGAATGCTGTAGACTTTGTATTTTGTATGTAGCGATGTACACGTAGTACACTTGTCCGATCGTATGCTGGAGTCCCGCCTCCGAGTAGCCGTCGCGCCCCAGGGCGCGCGGCGGGCGAGGGGGCGATGTGGGTGGCGCGGGGGTGGTTGTGAGAGAGAGGGGGAGGAGTCGTACGTAGGAAGGAGAGAGGAGAGGGGGAGGCGGAAAGGAACGGAGAGTTCGAGGGGGGATCTACACCTATGAGGTGGCACGAGGAGGAGGAGGACGAGCAGGAAGATGGGGGAGGCCGTCCTGGCCCCGTGCTCCCGCGCCGCGCGCCGAGACCCATGGGGCACCGCTGGCCCCAGCGCGCAGCCGCAGCGGTGGGTGCGCGCGTGCCCCGTGAGCAAGTCCAGACCAAGACCTACATGTTGAGCCTTAAGATCCAGAGGCTGAACCTCAAGATATTCAGCTTGACCCTTGAGGTCTACAGGCCGAGGTTCGCGAACCACCAGCGTTACGAGCTCATACTACGTTTTTTGAGATCCACCGGCAGACGCCATGCCGAGACTGAGAGCAGCGGCGGCTGTCCAGCGGATGGGGTAAAGTGTAAGACACGGGCCCGAGCCAAGCCCAAACAATATCACCATCGTCACCCTTGCCGCTTACAACAAAAAGTACGACACCAAATGCGCCGTCAACGACGGATCCGACGACGGCGGAGTGTACTGAGGTGAACCCTACGCACAAGTAGCAAGTGGCCATAGACAGGGAGCCCCGATTACAGCGTCACAACCTTTTGCGCCAGACGTGAAGTACATCGTCATAGAGGCTCCCGCCCGAGAGCTGTACGACTTCCTTGACGGCGCTGGCAACGACCACGACAAGCACGACCAGTACGGCCAGAAAAAAGTACCAGAATTTGGCTACCAATACGGCCTTACGGATATTCCACGGATGCCAATCCTGCTGAGCTCCGAAGGCCACCAGCTGAGTTACGACAGCAGGAAGCAGTGCTCCCGAAAACACCGATTTGCCAGCAGAGCTGCGACGGCAAGACATGGACTTGCGAGTATCACAAGCAGGGCCATGAGGGCCACCAACATAGATACGACAGCCACCAGCAGAGATTCGAGGGCCACTGGGAGGCATCTTAAGAGCGGAACGCTGCGACCTGGCAGCGGGCGGCTCCGACTTGGACCACGAGGAGGCGAAGGCGGCAGACGAGGAGGAGACTGATAGTGGAGGAGGACTGCGAGGAGCACGGCTTTGAGAAAGAGGACGGCACATATTTACGAGGGCCACCTGATGAGCTACGACAGCTACCAGCAGAGTTACGAAGACCCCAGGCTGGGCTACCAGGACGACGCGTTGAGTTACGAGGGCCGCAAGCCAAACAACGAGGACCACTTGCCGAGATACGAGGGCCACAACATCAGCTTCGCGGGCCACAAGAAGAGCTACGCGAGCCTTCCGCAGAGCTGCTAGGGCAATGAGCTGAACTGCAAGGGCCAGGAGCACAGTTTCGGGAGCCACCAGCCAAGCCACGAGGTTCACCTGCTGAGCTGTTGAGCTACGAGGGCCATAGCGTGAGCTACGCGGGCCACGGGCAGAACAACGAGAGCCTCCCGCAGAGCTTCTTGGACGACGAGTTGAACTGCAAGGGCTACGAGTTGAACTTCGAGAGCCACCCGCCCAGCTACGAGAGCCACAAGATCTGCTATGAGAGCTACGGCTTCCTCGGGAGCTACGGGGGCCACAACCGAAGCCATGCGGGCCACAAGAAGAGCTACGCACGCCTCCCGCAGAGCTACCAGGGCAACGAGCGGAACTGCAAGGGCCACGAGCACACCTTCGAGAGCCACCAGCCCAGCTACAAGGGCCATCTGCTGAGCTACGAGGGACACAACCTGATTTAAGTGGGCCACAGGAAGAACTGTTTTAGCATCCCGCAGAGCTGCCAGGGCGACAAGCTGATCTGCAAGGGCCAGGAGCTGAATCTCGAGAGCCACCAGCTCAGCTACGAGGGCCACCTGCTTAGCTACGAAGGCCACAGCCTGAGTTTCGCAGGCCGCAAGCAGAATTACGGCCCCACCCCGCAGAGCTACCAAGGCGACGAGCCGAATTGCAAGGGCCACGAGCAGACCTTCGAGGTAAGAAAGCTCAGATCGCTGCCACTGACAGTCCAGGCCAAGTGGGGCAACGCTTATTGCTACTGCGTCGTACTGTCTCCGCGCGAACAGACGCTACTAATTCGCTGGGCGATGCGCGGTGCTGCAGCCGGACGCCCCCATCGAATCCCAGGCGTTGTCCGCCGCGGCGCGGGAACGAGGACAATGTCGCCTGAAATCTCACCCGCAGGAAAACGCAACAGCAAGGTGAGACCGGGCAAGCTTACGCCGTATGTCTACTTCTCTCCCCATCTTGGGTTCCTGATCAATACCGCTACAATACTATGGCTTCGGCACTGCTACGGTACATGGTACGCCACTGCTTGATACCACTCTTCAGCAAGTGGCTCGTATAGCGAAGACTTCCTTACGGGCAACCTATCGTGAAGGGCAGCAGCATATTTTGAGTGGCCCGGCCACTCCCATCTCCTCCTTGTTTCCTCTTCCGGTCCCTGATCATCATTGACAGGGTTTGGTATCCTCTTCCTCCTCCCCCCTCTGGAAGCGGCCCCTGCTGTCGCCGGGGGGTCCTCGCACTCGCGCCTGGCCTGCTACCCGCCCCGCCTGGCGGCCGCGGATGTGTGAGCGAGGACGGGCACGCCCGATGACGCTGCGAGTGGGAGGAAAAGGAGGAGGTGATGAGGAGGGGATTTGGATGGAGGAAGGTAACGAGACGGAGGGGGAGGGGAATTGGAGGAGGAGGCGTGAAAAAGGAGGTGCTGAGGTGGAGGATACGGAGGAGGAAAAACATGCGACGAGGCGGGAAGGGTGGAGGGCGGTAGGTGGATGTGGAAGACGGAAAGGGGGGAGCAGGAAATGGGGGGTCGAGATAGATAAGGAGGATAAGGGGGGATAGGGAGGATAAGGGGGACGAGGAGAAGGAGAAGGAGAAGGAGAAGGAGGAGGAGGAGGAGGAGGAACGGGTGAAGGAGCTGGTGAAGGAGCTGGTGGAGGATGGGGAGGGAAGTGTTGGAGGAGGGTGAGGTGCCTTGCCGATGCTTTGTGAATGAGCCGTTGTCACCATTACGTTTGCATGTTGGCTGCAATATTTATTTAGCGTGGCGCGGCCAAGTAGGAGCGCAACGAATCGAAAACGCCAAATAACGCGTGGAGCTCGAAGAGGCACTGACACCCAGCATGGGCTACTAGCTAATGGCGACACCCAGCGATGGCAACGGCAAGGACAAACGGCAGCTTATAGGCCATTCGGGAGTTTGATCAGGAAGGATGGGGACTTGCGTCACATGTTTCATGCGCACCGCCGACGACAGCGCCGTCGTAGCCTTGGCTGCAACTCCCGCCAGCATTTGCTTTATCTTCAGTCGATTCGTTGCCGGCTCCACGCACGGGTCGCCTCCGACAGCGAGTTCAAAGCCTTCCTGTGCTCCGCTGGGCCAGGACGCATGGACTCCGCCCGCTCAACGGACGATTCGTTGCAGGCGGTTTTGCTGAGTCATCTCCCCAAGGCAGACGTCCCCGCTTGAGCGCTTAAGCCAAGATGACAATAGAATACATCAGTTTCGTTGCAGCCTTCGTAATCGGTCCTCCGCGTTGCAGTCCTCGTTCGTCTCCTGTGCTCAAGATCTCTGTTCAAATAAAAGAAACTCGTGGCAATCATGCGGCGATGCTTCGGCGCTGTCCCCTATTGCTCCTTCCATTTCTCATTAGCTGTCCCTCCTGCTCCTCTCCTCTTCCTGCCTCCGCCTCTCCTGCCTTCTCTTCCTCTTGCCTTCCACTGCCTCCTTGATTCCTCCTCATCACTCCTCCTGGTGCCCCTCCTCCTTCTCATCACCTCCTACGTCGAAGCTTCCCCCAATGTCAAAAAACCGCGACGGCGAGGACGACAATGACGGCAGCGACGACGACGACGAAGATTATGACGACGACCGCGACGAACACGGCGACAACTCCGACGACGGCGGCCGCTGCCGCGACCACGACCGCGACAGCTTCGAGAGGCGACGACGAAGACGACCACGACCGCGGCGTGACACCACGACGGCAGACGACGAGAGACGACCACGACTGCGACACCGACGACGACGACGACGACGACGACGACGACGACGACGACGCCCCCTTGGAAGCCGGGGGCTCCGCACGGGGCGCCGGGCGGCTCCGCGCGCTGGAAGGTGCCAAGGAGCTCGCGAAGATGCTCCACGACTCGCTGGAGCCCCGCCGTCGTGGTCGGCGCCCACAGGGAGGAGGAGGAGGAGGAGGAGGAGGGGGAGGAGGAGGAGGGGGAGGAGAAGGAGGAGGAGGAGGAGGAGGAGGGGGAGGAGGAGGAGGGGGAGGAGGAGGAGGAGGAGGAGGGGGAGGAGGAGGAGGAGGAGGAGGAGGAGGAGGAGGAGACGGGCAGCCCTCCCCAGACGCTTGTTGGCCCCGTCTTGGGCCTCTCGTGCCGGCACCGCACTGCCACCACCCAGGCTCAGATTAGACCTCGCCATCCCTGGGA